AAAAAAATAATTAGCAAGAGATTTACTTCCTGTTATACAACTACTAGTTCGCTTTTGCGCACCTTGACACAGTTTATTACTGTAGGATGATGCTAAGGAACAGAAATCTCGAGGAAAACCTAGGCCACCCATGCAAAATAGGAGAACGTGAATAACCAGTTCCGAAATGACAGAATTAAAGCTTTTAACACATAATTATCTTCAGCCTGTGTACAGTACGTAGTGCATGCCCGCACAATCGTGGTGATGGTAACTTCGATACACATTGGAGAACGGGTGTTTCGAAGTAATCCCCAAACAATGGATTTCACAGAAGAATGTGAAATAGAGAACTCGAAAAGTTCACAAGCATTAAAAGTCAACAACAATAACAAAAAACGAACTCGAGGATGAAAAGAGAAATGAGAAGAAAATGAAAGAATTAACGCGCTCACACTGGTGCGCATAGGACGGTCGCAAAGCATTGATGCAATAAATTCCAATTATTGAAATAAAAGATGAACTGACCTATGATGACACCCATCCACTTCTTCCCGTTCAATCCATTAACAGCCGCATCAGCCTCAGCCGGCTGAGAAAACTGCACAAACCCAAAACCTTGCTGAAAATATGCACAAACATAGCTTTGCAATTTTCAGCGAATGCAGTGGAACTACCTTGAAGTGATTCAGAGCGAGGATATTACCGAAAGGCTTGAAAAGTATAATCAAATCGTCACGCGTTACTGGAGCACTAGTCAAACGTCCTATGAAGACGCGGGATCTAAGATACTGGTAATTGAGATGCTGGGGAAGATACCAACAACTGTACCTACCTAACCATCACGGGATCCTTCGAATTCGTATCATAGCTAATTTCGGGATGGATGCTAGATGACACAGTACTAAAAGCAATAATCAATTATTAACTCATGAAAGACAAGTCAGATTTGTAGGCGAACTTCGGTCCTCTGATGAATTGGAACTTCCAAAGCAAATAAGTTTGAAAGAAATCTCCTACGTAGCTAGCACAGGGTTGTAAGTTATCCCACAAGCATCCGCGTACATGGATGGTATAGCAGTTCCGCTAGGGGTCATCTGAGGTACTGGTGTTCCATAAGGTTGTGCTTG